CTTACCAGCTGTGTCAGGAAGTTGTCTTCCACACACTCCAGGAAAGTGTGCATCTTGAGCAAAGGTTTTGACTTTCTGCACTGTCCTTGATCACTCAGAATTCTGAGGTTGAGTATTACTGAATCTAATGCCCACTGACCCATGGCAGTCCAATAAAACATCAAAAGGCAATCCATGCTCCTCTTGCCAATTCCTGACTGCCAGTGGCTTTTTATGGCATTATCGATGTTCCTGATTACATAAGCAAACCAAAGTGTGGGGTTTTTTTAAATGGCAAAATGTTGGTATATTAACAAATATTTTATTTATCAGACACATCTCTCCCAACTGCCAAGTAGCAGAAGGTTGTAAGATACAGAACAAATTTTATTTCCTATCTCTCTTCCCCCCTCACCCGTGCAAAATATTAAATGGCACTTTGATTTGAAAAATGAGAGAAATAACTGCTGCAGGACATTTGTGTATAAGCCTATGATAACCTGGATTAACATCCTTGAACAGTGAGATAGAATGTATGAATTCACTATCATATCGTTAACATCTCTGTAAAGGAGGAAGGCAAAAAGGAACCTATTTCTTGTGTTTGTTGCTTTAAGCTGTTAGTTTAGTACCATGGTAACATAATATGATAGCACAACCTTTTTGTCTACTTGGTAGTTCACTGAAAAAGAGCTCATTCTAAGACATAACTGGAGGGGCTGCAAGGGAAGGTCTGATAACTGACACCGCATACAATGACATACAGCCTAGCACCATAAAGCGTGTTCAAACCATAACAGCTTGTCAGGATTTGAATTGAAAAAACTTCTAGCAGTAGAAATTTGTAATAAGTTAACAAATGTTATTTCTTAAGCAAAGCTGACCAGTATCCCTAGAAACTGACAGATGCAATGAAAGCAAAAACTTTTGATTACCAGGAGGCCAATGTAGCCTTGGTACAGGCCTGGGCATTGTACATTTGTACATTGTACATTTCTCACCTACAACCTGCTTTTCAGTCAGTTGCCTACATAGAAGTAGATGTAAAAGACAGTTGTTCTCTCTCATGTTCAGGAATTTTTGACGATCTTGATGCGCACAGTTGCAGTAAGGGAAACGGATAAGCTATGTGCCCAACAGGGTCAGACATGTTGGACTCTGTCCCTGAGACCGCCTTTCATCAACCTGAATTCCATCTTTGCTACTGTGACTACTCATAAAATGAACTGGAATAAAAGTGCTCTACATTTTGTGGGAAATCTGGCAATGCTTTAATACTGCCTTGGAAATTTGCTAAACAACAGGCAAGGTTCCTAAAAGGTTTTGGCTGGTTTCCATATACCTTTGTTAATTAATTAACATGGTCAGGAAGTCAGCATGACCTCTCCAGAATGACTGCTGTAATTATAGCCAGGGTTTCCACGGTACATGTTAGAATATCCTGGAAGGCAAACAGCTGATTGCTAGGGCACAGGCTGGTTCAACTCCATTGTCCAGAGGGGACAGATGATTCATTTGTTCAAAACTGGGCTTTCCACTGTCTTATCCTGCTTCCTAAATGATAAAATCAGATAAGGATTTCAGAGTTGAAGCAGTTACATCACTAGAAAGTCCAGTCCCCTTCTCTTACTGTGTCCTCTTGCGGTAGAATGAAAACCCACTACATGAGATATGGAATGATGATTTCCACTAAGATCAGCCTTGCCAAGCTGGTACATTGGTTATCAGCTGATCCAAATACATTTGATCAGGGCATTCACATTTGAATCAGTGGTAGATTAGTGCCTGGTGGGGAGAGTTTTTGCACCAGTTTCAAGATCACTTACAAATTGTAAGAAAGAGACCTTCCTGCTCAATGCTTAAAAAGCCTCCATCATCAGTAACAGTTCCAGTTGTATTCAATCCCATGCCTACCTTGCCAATGGTAGTTACATAATTGTTTTTTGGTCTTCCTTTTGCTATCTACATTCACAGTGTCTCACTTTTTGTTACTATACCCTTGCAGAAAAAATTGGGCTTAGGGAACATTCCTATCTCTGGGTTCTCTGAAAGAAGTCTCTTTCTGATTTCAGGATACACAAACTGCTCAAGCACATGAGGTTTAAATCAGATATTCCCAGATTAACAGGTCCACAATAATTACTAGAAATCTGTCTACTAAAGGCAATGTGATCGTCTCCCAAACAGAACATGCATCAAGCATGCCAACAAGAGGGATGAATCTGTTTTGTTCAAAACGTATGTGGAAACACAAGAAATCCTTTACCTAGAATGTCTGTCAGGACTGTGTGAAAGTCCTGTGCCTCCTCATACCCTACTATTAATGCTAATGGAGGCAACCGTTTCACATCAGTTTTAAATCAAGCATTGCTAAGCACTCAAGAGCCACATTAATATGAGCACCTCAAAAAAATAGTTACTATATGCTAAATAACTATTCCTTCCTTTAAAATGGGTTAGTGTGCTATTACTGTGGACTGGCAGTACCTCTCTGTATGAAGAGTAATAGTAAATCAGTTGTTTTAAGAACTGTACCACTTCTCCTGTCATCTCTTCTGGCTGGTCATTTCAATGATAGTCCTTTTTAACAAATGTCAGTAGATTATTTCCTGAGGCTCTTAGAAGTCAGTGTGCTTCTGAAGCAGGCTGGTAATTTTATCGATGTGGTAGAGGATGACTTGACTTTGCAAAGGGACATGAGAAAACTCATGATGATATATGCACTATTTGATATACCTGGAAAGTCACCTGGAGCTTTCCTGGCCTTTCAAGCAACTGTTGCCACTACAGATAGAGAAAATTAGTCTGAATGACTTTACTCTAAGAAGGTAGTAACGTAAAGCTCTGAAGATGTTAAGATTACATTTTCTCCCGAGGAAGTCTGCAGTTTCACAAAACAAATGTCATAGTGACTAACTGGTGCTCTGCTTCAAATGAAAGTCTCATGTCAGAATGTCAATCAACTTCATCATCACATCCCTCTCACTAAATGATGCACTCACAGAAGCAACAGTGCATGTGCATTGATAGCAGACCTTCTGCTACCAATTGGTCCATTTTATAATAATAATAATAACAACAACAACTTGATACTTTTTATTGTCCCTGTTAGAAAATCTTCTTGACAAATAGCATCACATTCTATCCCAGGCCAAAAAATCATGTATGACTAGGAGAGACTAAAAATTGTCCATTTCTACTTACAGAGATATAGAAAAAAAGGACAGCTGACCAGATAAATTTAGTCTATGGATATTTTTACCCTTGGACCATCTTTGTGGGTGGAAGTGAAGGAGTAAAGTTGAGTCGGGAAAAAAGGGGCGGTGGTGGTAGTGGTTTGAAGGTGGTGGTCTAATTTTTGTCTCTGCTTCTCACTATACAAAACTACTTTAATTGGCAACAAATGAAACTCATTTTCTTTAAGTTGAGTCTGTTTTGCCCATGACAATAACTGGTGATCAATCTTCCTGTCTTTATCTCAACCCATGAGCTTTTTCAACCTACTTTCTCCATCTGTCCCATTGAGGAGGGGGAGTGAGAGAGCGGCTAGGTGGGCATTTGGCTGCTTGCCAAAGCTAACCCACCACACATTTCTAAAAGGTAGCACACCTATGGACAGCTGTGTCAGTATCACCTCCATTTTAGTGGCCCCAGTGCAGGGCGAAATCAATCACCCAGTGTTAGGAAGGATGTCTGCCAACAACAAACCTGCATTCAGCTCAGCACCGAAGGAATTTCCTTTTTTTTTCTTTTTTAAACTCACCTTTGGTATTGACAAATACTTTGAAGGCCTTTTGCACAAAGTTTTCTAGTGACTCTTATCATGAAATGATTCTGAATGTAGGGTTTTTCCAAGGAAGAAAAGCAAGATAAGCACATGCTATCCAGATTCTAACAAGGATCACAATGTTACAGAAAGACTTAGACCTTAAAACCAGTGGTTTTTGAATCCTCTATTATTCTGTGTACTCTCAACAAGAATGTCAATGAACTCAGTGCAATGAACTTTTACATCATTATCATCAGGAAAATATTAATATTTCTAAAGGTGATCATTATAATACCAGTGTTAGCCACCATTTTGAAGACTCAGAAAAATTTTGTTATGACTGAAATAATTTTTCACACACAACTGTTTGATGTAACACCAATTTCTAAAGATGCTACAAGTGTTGTCTTAAAATAAGCAGTATTTTTACCTTGTTTCTGTCCTGGGTATCCACTTCTCCAGGTGCCATATGTTTTAGCAACAAAGCTAAACATTTTGGGCTTTTGTGACGTGTAGTTAAATGTAATGGTGTCATATCCTCTAAGTCCTTCTGCATCCAGTTCCCTCTACGAGCCAGTAAAAGTTTCATGAAGCGGTAATTTCCCTGGGTAAAGAAAAATATCAGAAATTTATTCCAGTTTATCAAACCAAATGATGATACTGTTTAGATATATTTACTGTTGTATTACAGTGCCTAAAAAAATGCACCAAAACAGCTCTAAGCTTTGGAAACATCTAATGAAGATTTTTATTAAAAAACATTAACTCTTGATTTTTAAGTCTGTTTTGCTACTTGGTATTAGATACATATCTTCCAGTAGCAGAGCGTGTAAGACAGGGTTCAGTAATACCGAAAATTCTGCAATATTGTCAGTGTTTCTTGACAGTTTAAACTCAAGAAACATTGTGTAAAAACTGAAATAAGATCATTACATGCTGGTTTCACAAGGCAGATAGTTACCAGACGAAGAATAAAACTAAACATGAAGAAAGATTACAATTTTCAAAATGAAAGTAAGAAAAATAACAGGGAATGATTCAGAGAGATAAAATGAACTCATCTGCATAACATATACAGAAAAGTGATTGTCTCTTACATTTTTAAATTGGGAACTGTATATGAGTTTTGATCTACTGTATGCATGATAAATGGATGGGACAGCTAGCTTTGTAACACATTTAAAACACTTACCACTCTGGACTTACTAGGTTTTCAAAAGAAATAATGTAGAAATGCTCCTGTGACTAATAACTGAGGGTGGACCCCGAACAAAACAATCCAGTTTTATTTCTCAAATCATTGAAGAAGCCAGTCAAAAATTAAAGGTATAATCATGCAATCATGAAGAAGCTGTAGTGATTTAACGTATAGGCAGCCTTGACTTGCTACTGCCCCTTGCTTGGAGGTTATCTTCCCTATAACAGAGATGCTACATACAACATTTTGATGCTTCCACTTCGCTTCAATACAAAGTCTACTGGGTTTTTCAAACCACCTTCAGCAGTTAAGTTTCAGTTGAGGACCAGTAACAGCTGGAGCAATAACTCATTAAAGCAAAACATCTGGATCTAGCTTGTGTGATCATGTTTTAAACATCCCTATTCTTTCCCCACTCGAACTTTTAACCTTTCCTAAAGTGAAAGGCATGTGCTATCTCCCAATTTTGCTCACTGTCTCCCAATGTTTCCCAAAATATTAGTTTTTGCCAATTTCACATATTGACAGTTTAAGTAAAAGTATCAATTACCCATAAATATAATGAAAATAGAAAGCTCAGAAAAGAAGATAAATGGTATTAATTCCCCCCACCCAGGGAAAAGCTGCAGCATTTGATGAAGCTTTATTAGACAATGTACACAGGAAAGGTGACACTCAAATCAATAGAAGTCATGTCTTTGGATTCTTCTGCTTATGGAACTACCTTAACATATTTCAGTCTGCTACAATTCTTTTACAAATCCTGTACCTTAACTTGGTCCTTTTAGGCTGTCTTTGGAAAAACAATGAAAAAAAGGTAACCATGTAGACAAGTGCAAGCAGTGCTAATAAATGGGGGCACTTCTGTATATCATAAGACTCAGAATTGCGAATCACTTTGTCAGCAGAATGGTAGGGTGGAGATGGGCCAAAGGATTCCAGAGGCCCCCACAGTATCCAGCGCCAGGGCATAAAAATATTCTAGTTTCCTTTTTCATAGCAGCCATAAAGATTGGAAGGGCAGATTTTACATATATTACTGTTCTGTTCTTTGTCTAATAAAAATGGAAGAGTTGAGCTTTATGTGGGAAGAATGGATTTCACCAAGTACACCTAAAATAAATGAATGTGATTCTTTTTTCCCTGCTACACTATTTTATTTTACAATACAAAACAGGGAAAGCAAATCATGAATGAGCTCAGACAAAATAACCTCTTTCTGCTTCTACAGTTTATTGTCATCGGTCCTTGCTCTTCAGTGAAAGCCTACAAGAAAAGTCTGCCAAAAACCTTACCACAAACCTGCCCGAAAATGCAAATTTCTCTTGCCAGAGACAGCATGGCTACTGTACTCTTCAACAGCATTCACAGCAGTAGTGACTGACTAATTCTCTTTCTTCTGCTGGGTGTCAAGGAAAGCATTACCTTAGGATTTTGTCCCTTTAATGCACACAAGGCAAGTAGAGAGGCAGAACAGCATCATGTCTGCCCAGCTACTAATCCACGCAGAACACACTCAAAATGAATCCATGACAAATTTGGGAATGACTTAGGGATGAGAAAACTCCTCATTATTGCCATTATATTTTACAGGTAAATATAAGAAAAATTTGCAAAACTCATTAAAAAAGAAAAAAAAACTAGCAAAAAATTGCAATTTATCATGATGTGGTTAGGAATTAGACTGGGGGAAGACAACATTAAATAACTTGAGAGAATATTAGTCGTGGAAGAAATATAGCTGCTTTTCTCCATCACAGAGGATAATGCATTTGGCTTGTTTTCAGTATTTCCTGCTCAATGTGCATGCATACACATAAAAGAAAAAATATTTATTTTCTTTTGTTGATGGATACTTATTGGAAGATTTACAAGTATATTGTGCTTTTTGAATGAATTCAGCTGAAAAGTCAAAGTTAAAATAATACATAAACCTAAAGAAACGTGCATTTTTAT